CAAAATCCCATTGGCTTTTTTTGCCGCCACATCACATTGATGGCTCATGTTTAACTTGTTGTCCACGAGGACTCCAAGATCTTTTTCACACGTACTGCTCTCGAGCCAGGCATCCCCCATTCTGTATCTTTGCATTTCATTTTTTCTGCCAAAGTGGAGTATCTTGCATTTGTCACTGTTGAACTTCATTTTGTTAGTTTTGGCTCATCTCTCTAATCTGTCAAGATCGTTTTGAATCCTGCTCCTGTCCTCTGGACTATTGGCTTTGGTTATTTGGGGTGCTGATTCAGAAAACTGCATTGGATACACCACATCAATTCTAGTTTCTGATACAAAACATATGCCATAAAGTAGCCGCCATCTGCTCGCCCACAGAAAACCATATTTATTAATCTAGAGCTGCTGTGGTAGTAGTAGTAATCTTTTGTGAATGGTCAGCGTCTCCCCTTCTGACATCCCAGTTGCCTTGGCACTATAAGAGAGTTTCGCGAGACCAGTTGTGCTCATTGCAGCGTGGTTTCGAGGAAATGGTATAGTAATGGTGGGGCCGTGGACCATATTTTTGTGGACCACTGCTGATCCACGGACCACAGGTTGGGAACCACTGTTTTTAAATGAATGCATACTAGACAATAAAAGTTGCTACTTTTTGTAAGTGTTCGCTTCCTATCCTGACACCAATAATTTTAAAGTGAGTTTAACAGGAACACACTGGTGATCAGGGCTGGCCCTAGGTAATTTTCAAGTGTAAGCAAACAGTATTTTGGCACCCCACCCCCCCCCCCAAAAAAACCCAACCAATCACTGAAAAATAAAAGGTAGAAGGTAGAGGTGAATAAAAGAGTTACCTTACAAACCAGAAGTTTACTTACAACATTATGTTCATGTAGTTACATTACATAGAATTAACACAAATTAACGCATCACTGACAAAGGCTAAGCCAATGCAAAACAGAAAATCAAATATACCTTTGGTTGGAATGTATCCATAAATACATTTATATATTTATTATTCAAACTTCTATGCCGCCACTCTCCTGGGACTCGGAGTAGTTTACAAGAACAGGCTAAAATCTAACACAATTTAAAAACAATTTAAAACAATTTAAAAACAGCAATATCAAAGATCAAAGGCCTGCCGAAACAGATACATCTTACATGCCCTGCGGAAAGCTGATAAGTTCCGCAAGGCACAGACTTCAGGTGGCAGAGTATTCCAGAGTGATGGTGCCACTGCTGTGAAGGCTCTGCGTCTGGTTGCTGTTAGACGCAAGGTCTTGACACTGGGGACTTCCAATAGATCTTGGTCCTCAGAACGGAGGGATCTCTGGGGTTGGTAGGGGGTGAGGCGGTCCCTCAGATACATCGGCCCCAGACCATGCAAGGCCTTAAAGGTGAGTACCATCACTTTGAAAGTGATCCGGTGCTCAATTGGTAACCAATGCAGCTGCAGTAAGATTGGGGTTATGTGGCATCTCATCGGAATTCCCGCAAGAAGCCGAGCAGCTGCATTTTGTACCAACTTGAGCTTCCGGATCACCGACAGAGGAAGGCCAATGTAGAGGGCGTTACAGTAGTCCAGTCTTGAGATGACCATGGCCTGGATCACCGTAGCTAGGTCGTCCCTGGACAGGGAGGGGGCCAGCCATCTAGCCTGCCGCAGGTGAAAGAACGCAGTTCTGCTCACGGCGGAGACCTGGGCCTTCCTTGTCAGCAGAGGGTCCAAAAGGATTCCCAGGCTCTTGACCAACGATGACGGGCGTAGGCAGGGTGGGCAGATGGATGTCCCCACTGCCCGGTCCACCCAGCCATAGGATCTCTCTTTGCTGGATTCACCCTCAACCTGCTGGCACACAGCCATCCAGTAACCCTCGAGGCACTGATGGAAACAGTCGGGTACAGAGTCCGGCCCTCCATCTTCAGCACCAGCTGAGTGTCATCCGCGTACTGGTAACACTCAAGCCCAAAACCTCGAACCAGCTGAGCAAGTGGTCGCATATAGATGTTAAACAAGAGAGGGGAGAGAATGGCCCCCTGAGGAACCCCACAAGAGAGAGAGAGGGGACCTCTCAGAGACCAGGCCTCCCCTCTCCACTCGCTGTCCACGGTTGTGAAGAAAGGAGGACAGCCAATTTCAAGCTGTCCCCCTTACTCCAACAGCAGCAAGGCGGTGGGTCAAAAGATTGTGGTCGACTGTGTCAAATGCTGCTGTGAGATCCAATAACACAAGCAGCGCCAACCCGCCCTGGTCAAGCTGGCATCGAAGGCGATCCGTGATTTAAGATCACTCTGACTGTATGGTGGTGATTATATGTTTTTAATGGTTTTTTAAGATAGTGAAGACTAGAGACATCACACTGGAAACGAAGATCCACATAGTTAAAGCAATGGTATTCCTCGTAGTAACCTATGGATGTGAGGACTGGACTATAAAGAAGATGGAGGAAAATTCTGAGAGGGCCATGGACCGCGAGAAGATCCAATGTGTCCATACTTCAGGAAAGAAAACCCAACTGGACTGGAATTCAAAGCAAACCCTCATGAAGCTGGGAAGTCAAATAGCCACTGTGTGTCTGTCTACATATGTTGTGTGTCTATGGCATTGAATGTTTGCCATGTATATGAACATTGTAATCTGCCATTAGTCCCCTGCGGGGTGAGAAGGGCGGGATATAAATACTGTAAATAAATAAATAAATACTTCATGTTAACCATGAAAACAACAAAACATTTGCTGACTTTTTATGAAACTAAAAATTCTGCTATTTGAGCCAATAGAGCAGTACTTCTCAAGCTTCCTGATGCTCCAACCCCTTAGTAAAGTTCCTCATGTTGTGGTGACCCCCAACCATAACATTATTTTGTTGCTACTTCATAACTGTATTCTTGCTACTGTTAAGAATCATCATGTAAATATCAGATATGCAAGATGTATTTTCATTCACTTGACCAAATTTGGCAAAAATACCTGATATGCTGAAATTTATGTACTGGTAGGGTTGGGGTGGGGGGTGATTTTGTCATTTGGGAGTTGTAGTTGCTGGGATTTATAATTAACCTACAATCAAAGAGCATTCTGCACGCCACCAACTATGGAATTGAACCAAACACGGCACACAGAACTCCCATGACCAAGAGAAAATACTGGAAGGGTTTGGTGGGCATTAACCTTGAGTTTTGGAGTTGTAGTTCACCTACATCCAGAGATAACTGTGAACTCAAACAATGATGGATCTGAACCAAACTTTGCACAGATACTCAATATGCTCAAATGTAAACACTGGTGGAGTTTGGGAAAAATAGATCTTGACATTTGGGAGTTGTAGTTGTTGGGATTTATAGTGACTTTGAATTGGTTTTATGATCCATACAGTTACTTTGCATTTGTAAAACGTATAGAATCATAAGAGTTGGAAGAAACCTTGTGGATGTGGGCCATCCAGTCCAACCCCCTGCCAAGAAGCAAGAAAATTGCATTCAAAGCACCCCCAACAGATGGCCATCCAGCCTCTGTTTAAAAGCCTCCAAAAAAGGAGCCTCCACCACACTCCAGGGCAGAGAGTTCCACCGATGAACAGAGTCAGAAAGTTCTTCCTAATGTTCAGGTGGAATCTCCTTTCCTGTAGTTTGAAGCCATTGCTCCGCGTCTTAGTCTCAAGGATAGCAGTCTTTAGGAGGAGCCTGAAAACGTGGTTGTTCCAGTGCGCCTTCCCAGAATAAAGCAACTCCCAGCAATATGTCCCTAAATGCACTTTTTAGTGATCTAGGGTTATCTGCACGCTCTATCCCTCTCCAAAATTTCTATCCTGTCTATATGTCACCTGGTCACGCCCAGCATTATTTAAAAAAAAATTAATTAGTACATTTGGCCCTGCCATAGGTTTTTAAACGTCGTTGTGTTATTGTTAATGTTTATTGCTATTTTCTGTTTATTAGTTTATTTATTGTTTGCATTACGATTGCTATTGTTTTTATTGTTGTATTGTGGGCTCGGCCTCATGTAAGCCGCAGCGAGTCCCTTGGGGAGATGGTAGTGGGGTACAAATAAAGTATTATTATTATTATTATTATTATAGCAGAAAACAAGCTTGCTCCCTCTTCCCTGTGACTTCCCCTCACATATTTATACATGGCTATCATGTCTCCTCTCAGCCTTTTCTTCTGCAGGCTAAACATGCCCAACTCTTTAAGCCGCTCCTCATAGATCCTGTTCTCCAGACCCTTGATCATTTTAGTCGCCCTCCTCTGGACACATCTCCTTTCAGTTGTGGTGCCCAGCATACAGAGACCACCAGAAGAACTCAGTGCTCTTTTCCAGCAAAGTCTGTGAAGTACACACTCGCTTTCATGTGGTTTGACACCACTTTTTAGCTGCCATGCCTCAATGCTGTGGAATCCTAGTTTGGTGAGGCATCAGCCCTCTTTGGCAGAGAGAGAAGGCTAAAGGCTTACCTCCTCTTTGGTGGAGAACACCCCATAGGGCAGGTTCTGGATGGGAAAGTGGGAGGCCTCCTCCACAGGAATGAAAGACATGTTGCTTTCTTTCTCCTCACAGGCCACTGCTAGGGAAGCAACTCGCCAAGGGTTTGCTTGGCCCTCTCCTTGTGAGAGGCCAACCAGAGCTGCTGTCTTCTCACCCGCCCTTCCCGGTTAATGACTGCCAGCCCTTGGGGTGGTGACTCAGCAGCGCCAACAATAACTGCAGCCTCCTCCTCCTCCTCCTCTTCCTCCTCCACTCTGCCCAAAGCCTACATTGCAGAAGGAATGCAATTTGACACCCCTTTAACTGCTATGGCCCAATGCTGTGGAACCTAGGAGTTGTCGTTTTCTAAGGTCTTGATCCTCCCTCTGGTGCCTCACCAAACTACGAACCCCAGGATCCCATAGCATTGAGCCACAAAAGTCCAAGTGTGCTGACGCACGCTGGGCCTGTGCATTAGACTGTAGACAGGACATAAATTCTGTGTGCCCAACGGGACGCCGGGGCTGCCTCAGATCAAAGGCCCTTAGATTCCCCCAAACAGAGTCTTTAGATTGCTTAAAGTCAAAGTTCTTTATTAATGAAAACAAACAGGTACTTTTAGGCTTTCTTAACAGTCTATTGGCTCTTTCTCAATCTTGTCCACAGGGAACAGACACTATCTTCATAACTGTAACTAATGGGGAAATCCTTAACTTCTAATCTGGGCAGTCTGTCTTTGCCTCTGTTGGCGTGGAGCCCCTGCACCCGGTACCAACTGCGTCTGGCTTCCGCGAGCGACCCTTACCAAGCAGAGCTTTGTAGACTTCCAGGGAAAAAGGAGTTCAGGTTTCGGTGATGGCTGGCTGAAGTCCCTCAGCAAAGGAGCTGTAAGGCTGTATGATCCTCGGCCAAGCTGTGGGCTGTAAAACCCTGGCCAAGCTGTAGAGCCTTTTCTCCCCAGCCAAGCTGTAGAACTGTATGTCTCCCTGGCAAAGCCGTAGAAGATGAAGCTTTCTACAGGAGCTCTTTATTTTATGTCCTGTGTGAAAGGCTTCTCTGTGTGGACTGACCCAAAAAGGCTTCTATTCCCTCCAAAAACCCAAAAAGGGGGCGGGACCAAGGAACCTAACTATAATTGACAGGTGGCTTGCCCTATGATTGCAGCCAAAAGAAGCCACCTATCTGCAGAGTCCCTGAAACTTAGGACTGCAACAAACATTAAATGCAAAGCAAACAAAATTGGAGCTCCTGGTACAGTTGTACCAGCACACAAAGTGATGTCAAATTGCAATATTTCCGCAGTGTAAATACTGTTATTTCTTAGTGCATGTTTTATTTTAATTTTCCTACTGCACAAAATGCACCTAGATATGCACACATGAGGAAGATTCATCATTTTCCATCCTTACTTACCTGCCTAAATATCCTGGACATCTGTCCTATCTCCAAAGCTGAGCATAATCAGACTTGGCTAGTGCTTGGATGAGGGAGCGCCAAGATTCCCTGAAGCCAAACCAGTAACTATACTCCCAACTTAAGAATGGAAAATGGCATGTTGGTGGGCAGGTGTAGGTTTGAGATATCCTGTCATGGACCAGATTTTCATCCTTGTGGCCCACTGTTGGTCTGTGGCCCACAGGTTAAGAACTAGTGGTCTAAGGTGACACTAAGATATTTAGGATGGAAGCATTGTTTGAGCTCTTGGCCTTCCCAGATAACTTTCAATTTCCTGCTGGCTTTGTGGTTGTGTAGATGGAAAGCACACACTTGTGTCTTGGCAGGCTTAGGCTTCAAGTGGCTATCTTTGTAGTAACTACAACTCCCAAATGTCAAGGCCTATTTTCCCCAAACTCCATCTGTGTTCATATTTGGGCATATGGAATATTTGGCCAAGTTTGGTTCACTTCCATCATTGTTTGAGTCCACAGTGCTCTCTGGATGTAGGTGAAACTACAACTCCCAAACTCAAGGTCAATGCCCACCAAACACTTCCAGTATTTTCTGTTGGTCATGGGAGTCCTATATGCCACATTTGGTTCAATTCCAAAATTGGTGGAGTTCAGAATGCTCTTTGATTGTAGGTGCACTATAAATCCCAGCACCTACAATTCCCAAATGACAAAATAGAAAAAAATGAGTGAAAGACAAACATTGGGTTGTTAGGTATATGCTGTCCAAATTTGGTGTCAATTCGTCCTGTGGTTTCTGAGTTATGTTAATCCCACAAAAGAACATTACATTTTTATTTATATTTGTTGTTGTTCATTCATTCAGTAGTTTCCGACTCTTTGTGACTTCATGGACTGGTCCACGCCAGAGCTCCCTGTCGGTCGTCACCAGCTCCATCTCCTTCATTGTAATACAATACAATATAATACAATATTATATTGTAATACAATATAATACTAATAATAATAATAATGCAATATTATAATTCTATATTTTATATTACTGGGTTGTTGTAGTTTTTTTTGGGCTATATGGCTATGGTCTAGAGGCATTCTCTCCTGACGTTTCGCCTGCATCTATGGCAAGCATCCTCAGAGGTAGTGAGATCTATTCGAACTAAGAAAAAGGGTTTATATATCTGTGAGATGACCAGAGTGAGACAAAGGACTCTTGTCTGCTGGAGCTAGGTGTGAATGTTTCAACTGACCACCTTGATTAGCATTTGATTGCCTGGCAGTGCCTGGAGCAATCTTTTGTTGGAAGCAATTGTTTTTCCCCTGCTGCATGCCTGAACGTCCCTGGATCTAGACACTATGCTCCTATTGATGCAGGCCAAAATCCTATTGGCTATTTTGGCTGCCGCATCACATTGTTGGCTCATGTTTAACTTGTTCTGTGTGAGCTTGTGTTTAGTGGAGTCCTCCAGCTGCAGCCAGACAAGAATTTAAGAAGCTTGGTATGCACTTATATTTTTCAAGAAGGTGGAGAAATCTCAGCGTGAAAACAATTTGAGGCATGTTCAATTCCATTGCTCACAGCAGGGGAAAAACAATTGCTTCCAACAAAAGATTGCTCCAGGCACTGCCGGGCAATCGAATGGTAATCAAGGTGGCCAGTAGAAACATTCACACCTAGCTCCAGCAGACAAGAGTCCTTTGTCTCACCCTGGTCATTCCACAGATATATAAACCCTTTTTCTTAGTTCGAACAGATCTCACTACCTCTGAGGATGCTTGCCATAGATGCAGGCGAAACGTCAGGAGAGAATGCCTCTAGACTATGGCCATATAGCCCGAAAAAAAACCTACAACAACCCAGTGATTCCGGCCATGAAAGCCTTCGACAATACATATTTTATATTAAATGTAATATTACTAATAATATTACAATATAATGGTATAGTACAATATAGTAATACTAGCTGTCCCCTGCCAGGTGTTGCTGTGGCCCAGTCTGTGGATCTGGAAAATAAAGTAATGAGAAAGTGTTGGTTTCTAATATATGTAATTTCTTGATGCTTGTGGGTAAACAGTATTTCTTGCTGTTTCTTTGTCAGTGTTGATGTCGAGATTGTCTGGTTTGCCTACTCTGGAACATGGAACGTATCATTGTCCTTCTTTAGGGGTCCCTTTCAAATCTATGATATTATATCTCTGTGTGTGTGAATCACATCTATCTATCTATCTATCTATCTATCTATCTATCTATCTATCTATCTCTATGGCTGGATGACTTTGTCAGGAGGACTTTGATTATGTTTTCTTGCCCTGGTGAAGGGAGTTGGATTGGATGGCCTTAAGTACTTTTCTGTTGGTCATGGGGGTTCTGGGTGGGAAGTTTGCCCCAATTCTGTCATTCATGGGGTTCAGAATACTCTTTGATTGAAGGTGAACTGTGAATCCGAGTGACTACAACTCCCAAATGTCAAGGTCTATTTCCCCCAAAGCCCATCTGTGTTCATATTTGGGCATATTGAGTCCTTGTGCCAAGTTTGGTCCAGATCCATCATTGAGTCCACAGTGCTCTCTGGATATAGGTGAACTACAACTCCCAAACTCAAGGTCAATGCCCACCAAACCCTTCCAATATTTTCTGTTTGTCATGGGAGTTTTGTGTGCCAAGTTTGGTTCAATTCCATCATTGATGAAGTTCAGAATGCCCTTTAATTGTAGGTGAACTATAAATCCCAGCAACTACAACTCCCAAATGACAAAATCATAATTTTTTGAGTGATGGTCACTCCTTGTGTTGTGAGACGTTTTGTTGCCAAATTTGGTGTGATTTCGTTCATTGGTTCTTTTGTTTTTAAGGCACTCATTATGTACAGAGCATTTATATATATATAGATATAATACTAGATTGTATGTATGGTAATAATATATTGTATGTATGCATATATATATATCTTGTAAGCTGCTCTGAGTCCCCTTCGGGGTGAGAAGGGCAGCATATAAATGTCGTAAATGAATAAATAAGACACGCAAAGTAAAACGCACGGCCACCCCGGAATTTCAATTTTTACAAATTTTATTTTAATCAAAGTTAAAGACGCTGATGAACATAAATACAATACAGTTAAAACTTCGTCATTCTTCATATTGGTGTACATAAAGAACCCAATAACATAACCCCCAAGAAAACCTGCAGTCAGCCACAAAGTGCAGACCACTCTGCAACACAAGCACACACACACACACACACATACACACAAAGATAGAAAAGAAGGGGAAAAAACCTAGAAATTATTTTGGAAAAAGAAAGGAAAAACACATCACACAGATTTCAGAATTTCAGCAGTTTCCCTCTCTCTCTCTCTCTCTCTCTCTTTCTCTCTCTCTCTCACACTCACTCATTACCAATGATTCATACATAAATAGGTAGTGGGTGCAAACAAGCTATTATGCTAAGGTATGCATAAACTTTGTTAATGGGGAGGAGGAAAAAAAAACAAAACAAACCCAAGCAGCCTTAATGATTAAAATACATTCAGTTACTGATCGCTAGTTGTGCCATACGAGGTGTTATCAAAAAAAAAGAGGAGGAAATAGTGCTGCAGAGAAAAGGGAAAAGAAAGCTATATACAAAGAAGAAGAAGAAAGGAAAACGGCCCGGTTAAATGCATGCATGTTTAGTACTAGAGGGAAAAAAATAAACAAAAGCACGGATGCCCTTCCGATATATCTCTGTGTCCATATTATAAAAGCCCTCTGCATTCAACTAAAAGTTAAACTCACTTTAAAAAGGATAATACTTGTATAGCCATGGTATTTCGGTCAGCGGCCCCACAGGGGAAGTGGAGAAGACGCTCGGAAGTGGAGGAGGAGGCCGAGGGAGGACCGGCTGTGGGGAGGACTGCCTTAAAGGATGTGTTCGGATATGTTCTAAACAAGGGGGGAAGGGGGGAGTCTAGGTTATTCGGATGACATGCATGATTCGGAAAACACGCGCTGGTGTTCCCAGTGACTAAAGGGAAGGATGGAGAAGAATGGAAAGTTTTTTGGGGGGCGAGGGGCGGTGGTGGGGAGGTGGGAAGAAGCTCAAGTCAATTTCATCTGCAGATGGTCAATTTTGTTTAATATTCCAGCAAGAGTAGCAGTTCAAATCTTCTGGATCTTTTCGCCGACAACTACAGGATTCTCTTTTCTGATCTTTTCTGCGGCGTCGGCTTTGTAATTGTAAGAGCAACTGTGGACGTCTGAGTAACGGTGTACGCCGCAATAAACGTTTCCGCACCTGCATTCAAACCCTGCAAAAAGAACGTAAGAACATAAATACCAGGCTTGGTTGAGCCAAACAAAAGATTCAAAACTCGTTTCAGATGCTGGTGGTTCGATTCGGAATCAAATTCCAAATGTTTCCGAAAAATTTTTTGGAACTTTCCGAAATTTCCGAATCGCTTCGTTAATGGCGATTAACATTAGGGAAGTATAGGCAGACATTTCTAGTGTCTTCTTAGGCAACTCACAGCAAAGCAACAAAGAAAAAAAGAACCAGCCCTAGGAGGTTTATGGGGTTTTTCAGAAGATTTCCCCAGTTAGGGAAGTATAGGCACTAGGCAGGAAAGAAAGAAATGGGGTTTCTAGTGTTTTCTTCCACAAGTCACATTTATGTATTTATTTAGAAGTTTTATATACCCGTCTTCTCGACCTCCAGTAATATAAAAACAGCACAGTGCATCATCATTATACATTAAAATATAAAATACAATAAAATACATCATCACATTACACAAGCCAAGTCGTCAAATACAGTCACAATTCATCGCCATCCTTCCATGTGGACAAGGGTTATTGACTCAATCATCAAATGCCATATTCCAAAGCCAGGTTTTTATTAGCTTTCTAAAAGTCAGGAGGGAAGGAGCAGATCTAATCTCTGGTGGGAGGGAATTCCAAAGCCGAGGGGCCACCACCGAGAAGGCCCTGTCCCTCGTTCGCACCAATTGCAATTGCGAAGCTGGTGGGACCGAGAGCAGGGCTCCTCCGGAAGATCTTAGTAACCTTGATGGTTCGTAGGGGAGAATCCGTTCGGACAGGTAAACTGGGCCGGAATCGTTTAGGGCTTTATAGGTCAACACCAGCAGTTTGAATTGTGCTCGGAAGCTCATTGGCAGCCAGTGGAGCTGGCGCAACAGAGGAGTCATATGCTCTCTGTACCCCGCTCCTGTTAGCAATCTGGCTGCCACTCGTTGGACTAACTGAAGCTTCAGTCTTCAGAGGCAACCCCACGTAGAGAGCATTGCAGTAGTCTAAACGGGATGTAACCAGAGCATGGACCATTGTGGCCAAGTCAGACTTCCCAAGGTACGGGCGCAGCTGGTGCACAAGTCACAGCAAAGAAACAAAGAAAAAACGAAACAGGCAGGCAGCCAAGCGGGGCTGGCAACAGTTCTTCTCCCTTTTTGCTTGCTTGCTTGCCCGCCGTGCTCTTCTTCCAACCTCCCTTCTCTCTCTATCTTTGTTTTTTTCCTTTCTCTTTCCCCTTCTCCCTTCCGTTCTCGGCTGTGAATGACCCTCTGAGCCATGTGCTCCCCTTTATATACAGCAATGGCGGCCAGTGCCGGAACCCCTCCTCTCCCCAATACTTCTCCCCCGATTGGCTGTGAGGGGAGGCAAGGAGCCCCCCAGTTTCCCAGCCGGCTAGAGGGCTGAAAAAATCATTTCCAACTCACTTCCTGAGTCGGAACAAAAATGCCGGGGAAAGCTTCAATAGAGCAAAGGGAGTTCTGGGTTTTTGAAATGCTTTGAAATCGCTTCAAAAAGGTAACTTTAATGAAATTATTACGAGTAACAAGTAATCCAACATGGCTCTATGCATGCCTAATAAATACCCCAGTTAGCACAGACCCTGAGTTTTGGAGTTGTAGTTCACCTACATCCAGACAGCACTGTGGACTCAAACAATGATGGATTTGGACCAAACGTGGCACCAATACTTGATATGCCCAAATGTGAACCCTGGTGGAATTTTGGGAAAATAGACCTTTGGGAGTTGTAGTTGCTGAGATTTATAGTTCGCCTACAATCAAAGAGCATTCTGAACCCCAATGATAGAATTGGGCCAAACTTCTAACACAGAAACCCCATGCCTTGAAGGGACTTGCTGGCGTGAGCCTCCCTCCAGCCTCACACGCTCTCCCTTGCCCACACATGCGCACCATGCTGTCATGTACCGAGCACACCTGCTCTCCCCTCCCTGCTTGGAGTCTCAGAAACAGCCCTCCCCTTGGCTAAAAGACTGGCCAATCACAGCGGAGGAGGGATTTTGGTGGGAGGATTCACTGTCTGTTTCCAAAAAGAGGTGATTTGAATGCAATATTCCTGCTTCTTGGCAGAATGGGGTTGGACTGGATGGCCCATGAGGTCTCTTCCAACTCTTTGATTCTAGGATTCTATGATTCTAGGAAGAGAAGGATGGCTGTTAGGAATTATGGGAGTTGAAGTCCAAAATACTTGGAGGACCAAAGTTTGCCAATGCCTGGGCTACAGACTCAAAGCCTTTCAGCTGAAGAAGCAGATCTAATACTCAATGCATAACTTAAGCTTTCAACGATTGCAACGGAAGCTTACCAGTAAGACCAACTTTCTTCCGGCACATGAAGCAGCGAGTTTTTTTCTGTTTTGGTTTGTCAAGGGACTTGTCCTGTTCTTCAGAGGAAGGTTCTGCATTATCTGATGCTGAAGCTGGGAAGTGAGCAAAAGGAGAGACAAAACAGGAGAGGTGTTGAATACAACAAAGCTTGCTTGGCACACTGAAGAGCCTTTGCGCTTGGGAGTTAAATAAAAATCGTAAACATGGCCAAAAGTTTAGCTAGATTTTCCCATCAATACCGTAACAGTAGGATCACATTGTCTCTTTGCTCTTGTTCCTCTGTGTATTAGTCTTTGCCTTATAAATGAGGTGAAGGAGTGGGTGCTGCACCCCCAAAACATCTGAATGATGTACAACCATAACACCTGGGGTATACCAACAATTGTGCACCAAAACATCCAGAGTATACCACTATCTTGCTGTTCGTCCTGCTGATCATGAGTTGCATTAAATACAACTGAGATTGGAGATGAAGACACCAAAGGCAGTAGAATTGGCTTAGAAAGCAACATGTTGACAATATTTTGTAACATATAACAAAATAACAACAGTGAAATAGTCCTGGGTAATGTATCTAGAAATGCAGAAAAATGTGGCCTATCTCAAAAGTGCCCATGTGAACTGTTTCTCATAATATGTTTTGTATTTGCACTTTATAATATTCTGAAACTGTCATTTTATATTTTATTATATTTTTTGATTAAGTATTACAGGGTTTTTTTAGCTACAGCCAAATTTTAGTAAAAGAATAATAATAACAATATTGGAAATTGGGTTGCTGAAGCATTCTCTCTTGACGTTTTGCCAGTTCTTACCAGGAGGCTGCAGATTATTATTATTATTATTATTATTATTATTATTATTTGAAACACAACAAGATGAGTCCACAGCAGACACTGTGCTGGCTGTTGTATTGGATCACACATCGGACACTTCCCAAGTGTCTAGGACTGTGTGATGTATTGGCGAATAATGCGTGCAGATCCCAGTAAGGTGGCCTTCTGCAGCTGGCAGATGGTAATTTTGTCAGCGCCGATTGTGTTTAAGTGCAGGCCAAGGTCTTTAGGCACTGCACCCAGTGTGCCATCACCACTGGGACCACTTTGACTGGTTTGTGTCAGAGTCTTTGCAGTTCGATTTTTAAATCCTCATATTGTGCCTGCACTTCTATAATAATAATAATAATAATAATAACAATAATAATAATAATAATAATTATTATTATTATTATTTTTATTTACTTTGGGTTGCTGTGAGTTTTCCAGGCTGTATGACCATGTTCCAGAAGCATTCTCTCCTGACACTTCACTTCCATCTATGGCAGGCATCCTCAGAGGTTGTGAGTTCTGTTGGAAACTAGGCAAGTGGAGTTTATATATCTGTGGAATAATGTCCAGGGTGGGGAATCCTTTGTTGAGAGGTGATTGGCTGTCCCTGATTGTTTCTTGTCTGGAGTTCCTCTATTTTTGAATGTTGTTCTTTATTTACTTTTATAATTTTAGAGTTTTTTTTAATATTGGTAGCCAGGTTTTGTTCATTATCATGCTAATCAAGGTGGCTAATTGAAACATCCACACCTACCTCCAACAGACAAGAGTTCTTTCTCCCACCCTGGGAATCATTCCACAGATATATAAACCCAATTTTCCTGGTTTCCAACAGACCTCACAACCTCTGAGGATGCCTGTCATAGATGTGTGCAAAATGTTAGGAGAGAATGCTTCTGGAACATGGCCATACAGCCCAAAAAACCCACAAGAACCCAGTGATTCCAGCCATGAAAGCCTTCAACAATATTGGAAATTGTCTTGTAGCAGTGAAATTTGAAATTGGAGACTACAAGTGTGGCTGTGACCACTCTTCCTGGCTTGTAGCTTTGATGGAAGAGGGGAGACAGTGCCTTTTAATGAAGATATAGACAATTATTTGAAATGCAATTTTAAGTATTATTGCCCAAACACCCATTTAGCCGCTTAGTGACAATTAATTCCATCTCTGCGTTGTGAACGACTGAAAAAGAATGAAATACCTTCATGTGCAATTCCTGCACTAAGAACCTTTAATGGATATTGCAACTATTTATTTTTGCAAAATTCATTATCTCTGCTTTGTTCGGCTCAACACCAAGAGAGGTAAAAACGCATTCTCTTATCACCAATAATAACAACAACAATTTTATTACCTGACTCTCCTTACAGCTCGAGATACATTATTATCTAAATATCCCCCCCCCTTTCCAGCACTTCTGATACTTTACCAGATACAGATCTCTCATTCTTTAAACATTAGTTTATTGAAAGTGAAAGCTGAGATGTGAAAAGAGATGGCTTTAACATCAAACGCCACATGCTCTCCTTTTCCTCCTGGAAAATCATGATTTTAGGCTACTAAACTGTGCTTAGGAGCAATGTGTCCACAAACTTCTTCCTTGCTATTTCTTTGATAAAAGCCAGCTTCAGGACTCAATGTCCACCTTAAAATCTTGGAATTATGTCCAAGCACCTGACATACAGGAACACACAACCAAACCACTCCTAACAGATGGCCATCCAATCTCCAGTGAAAAACTTTGTCACACTTCAACACTTATGTGGCTCAGGGGGCAAAGGAAAGGGCCGGAGGGTGTTAGGAATGGTGGGAGTTGAAGTCCAAAACACCTGGAGGGAGGGCCCAAGTTTACCCATACCTGTTATATAGGTATAATATATACTAATAATAATATGATATCATAAATTATACATTAAATATTGCATTAAATATTACTAATAATATTACAATATAATGGTATAGTACAATATAATAAAATATAATACTGATATTGTACTGTGCTAATATTATAATATGTTATATAGGTATAATATATACTAATACTAATAATATATTATAATTATATATTTTATATTACATGTAATATTACTAATAAATTCAATATAATGGTATAGTACAATATAATAATATATAATACTGATATTGTACTATGCTAATAATACAATATGTTATATAAGTATAATATATACTAATACTAATAATATGATTTTATAATTATATATATTTATATTACATGTAATATTACTAATAATATTCCGATATAATGGTATAGTACAATATAATAATATATAATACTGATATTGTACTATGCTAATAATATAATGTGTTATATAGGTATATGATATTATAATTATATATTTAATATTACATGTAATATTAGTAATAATATTACAATATAATGGTATAGTACAATATAATAATATATTATACTAATATTGTACTATGCTAATAATATAATATATTGTATCTATCTATATATATCTATATCTCTATCTCTATATCTATTTCGATATATATAATTTGTAAGCCGCTCTGAGCCCCCTTCGGGGTGAGACGGCAGCATATAAATGTCGTAAATAAATAAATAAATAGGTACTGTTTAATATACAGTATTGAGTACACAGTCAACATAAGCACCTTTGTAGTGCGTATCTGGATAGTCATTTGTGAAGCCGCACCAGGACTGTGGCGCAGCTGGCTGGGAGTCAGCTGCATTAAGATCACTACTGACCGAAAGGTCATGAGTTCGAAGCCAGCCAGGTCGGAGTGAGTGTCCGACCAATTTGTGTAACTTGCTGTCGACCTTTGCAGCTTGAAAGACAGTTGCATCTGTCAAGTAGAAAATTTAGGTACCGCTCATGTGGTGAGGCTAATTTACGAGGCCATAAAAATCTCCAGCAAGCATGCAAAAAATGAGGAAGTACTTCAGTGTCACAAATAGACGGTGAAGCAACAGCTCCCCTGCTGGCCAGAATACCCTCATGAAAAAGTTGGAATATTAAATAGCCTCTGAGTGTCTGTCTATCTATGTTGTGTGTCTATGGCAGTGAATGTTTGCCATGTATATGCACATTGTAATCCGCCCTGAGTCCGCTGCAGGGTGAGAAGAGTGGGATATAAATATTGTAAATAAATAAATGATTTCTAGGACTTTTCCAACTCTTTGACAAAGCATCTCACACAAGATAAGGTAGCTTCTAATACTTTTCCTTGACACGAGACAGATTACTTCTGAGAAAGAAGAGGCTGGAAGAACTGTGAGACGTGACGTGATGCGACATCTTGGAAGATCCCTAATCCATCTAAAACACAGACATGTGCCTTTCACCTTAAGAACAGACAAGCATCCTGAGCTCTGAGGATAACCTGGGAAGGAATCCCACTGGAGCATTGCAGCGCACCCAAATACCTGGGAGTCACTCTGGACCGTGCTCTTACCTACAAGAAGCACTGCCTGAACATCAAGCAAAAAGTGGGTGCTAGAAACAATATCATACGAAAGCTGACTGGCACAACCTGGGGATCACAACCAGACACAGTGAAGACATCTGCCCTTGAGCTATGCTACTCTGCTGCTGAGTATGCATGCCCAGTGTGGAACACATCTCACCACACTAAAACAGTGGATGTGGCTCTTAATGAGACAAGCCGCATTATCACGGGGTGTCTGCGCCCTACACCACTGGAGAAATTACACTGTCTAGCCGGTATTGCACCACCTGACATCCGCCGGGAAGTAGCAGCCAATAGTGAAAGGACCAAGGCAGAGACATCTCCAGCTCATCCCTTGTTTGGGTATCAGCCAGCACGTCAACGACTTAAATCAAGAAATAGTTTTCTAAGATCTACAGAGACACTCGCTGGAACACCTCAGCAAGCGAGAGTCCAAAAGTGGCAGGCTCAAACCCAGAACCTCAATCCATGGCTGATACCAAATGAGAGACTCCCCCCTGGGCACACAGAGGACTGGGCGACTTGGAAGGCGCTGAACAGACTGCACTCTGGCACCACGAGATGCCGAGCCAACCTCAAGAAATGGGGCTACAAAGTGGAATCCTCGACATGTGAGTGTGGAGAAGAGCAAACCACTGACCACCTGCTGCAATGCAACCTGAGCCCTGCCACATGCACAATGGAGGACCTTCTTGCAGCAACACCAGAGGCACTCCAAGTGGCCAGATACTGGTCAAAGGACATTTAATCAACTACCAAGTTTGCAAAATTTGTGGGTTTTTTAATCTGTTTTTTTTGTTCTGTTAGAAATGTAATACAAGGGTATGGTTGCTGATGACACGATAAATAAATACTTGGAAGAGTTACCTTTTGGACTACAGGTCTCAGAATGTGGTGGATGAGGGCTTCTAAGACCCGTATCCCCAAAAATCAAAACCTTAAAAGTTCTGGGCACGAAGAACTGGCATTCCCCCAAAAGTTAGTTGAAAAGAAGCTTTTGGACAGACATTTGGGGTAGCCAGAAAATATCTTTCCTATTATTCCACAGTACAGGGAAAATTGTGCTGGAATGTACTGGTGACGAGACGGATAAGGAAAAGACAGAAGAAAATGAATATTTGGAAGCAAGGACAGAGCAAGATAGTGGTCATGAGATTTGCTATTTTGAAAAAGCATGAAGTTCAAAGATCTGAGGCTGCAAAGGAAAGGCATGCATACAACTTTAATAAGTGGGTTGCTGCGAGTTTTCTGGGCTGTCTGGCCATGTTCAAGAAGCATTCTCTCCTGACATTTCGCCCACATCTATGGCAGGCATCCTCAGAGGTTGTGAGGTTTGTTGGAAACGAGACAAGCCCAAAAAAACTTACAGCAACCCAGTGATTCTGGCCATGAAAGCCTTCGACTATACCCATGATGGCGAACCTATGACACGTGTGTCAGCAGTGACACGCGTAGCCATTTTCGATGACACACAGCCGCATGTGGCCGCATACAGGGAAGATGGGGCCACATCCCAAGAAGGACATTTCATCCTCGGCTCCTACACCAGCATTTTTCTATAATGCCGAGTAATATGGCATTATAGAAAAAGCAGGTAAGTTAAATAATTAGTTTTTGGTTCATTAAATACAGTTATATAATACAATAATATATTTTTGTTATTAAACTATAAATATCATGAAATTATGGGTTTTTTCTCGAAGTGACACCCCACTCGAGTTATGCTCGGTTTTTTGGCGAGTATTGACACACTACGCTCAAAAGGTTGCCCATCATTGGACTATACATAGGAAGAATTATTTGAGTCTACAGACAATGCAGCCGCTGTTGCCTGTTTTGGGTCAAAAATTATTTAGCTATTTTTATCAGTGTTTATACTAATTTATGGATATATAATAAATAAAAGTGCTAATGGGGGCTCCCCTGCCTCATTCAACATAATGGTTTTTGTTCCAAGGCATGCTCCAGCCCCTCTCACAGCACATGCATGTGCCCCAAAGTCGGGAACCGCTGTAACAAAACGACCATGAAGAATGAAACACACTTACCTACTGTGTTTAGCGTGATATCTGTGTCACACCGCTTCGTTTTCACTCTCGAGCTCTCATCCGGGAAATCGGGATCATCTATATTATTTTCTATGCTTGCGTCATAATCGCATTCTGTTTCTGAGCCCCTGGTAGTGTCAGGTAAATCTGAGTTATCCATCGACAATTCCTCTCCGGTACTGTCTATTGAAATTGTCTCGGCAAGGTCCACTGATGTTGATTCTATTTGTTCAATGGGATATGTATTTTAGGGACGGGTTACTCCGTTTGCTTTCGCTCTCTAAGCAAACATGTTGTGTACTAATGTTTTAAAGCTGTTTGCATGTTGTTATTGTTAAACACTTCCCACCCACCCCCACCCCGATAATTGCCATTTCATGACTCCAACAATGCAAAGGTGATCCACTCTGTAAACACATCACGCACATGGATGTATTACTAAGTGAAGAAGGACTGGGTTGTTGTGAGTTTTCCAGGCTGTGGGGCCATGTTCAAGAAGCATTCTCTCCTGACATTTTGCCCACATCTCAGGGTTTGTGAGGTTTGTTGAAAACCAGGCCAGTGGGGTTTATATATCTGTGGAATAATGTCCAGGGTGGGAGAAATAACTCTTGTCTGTTGGAGGCAAGTGTGAATGTTGCAATAGGCCACCTTGATTAGCACTGAGTAGCCTTGCAGCTTCAAAGCCTGGCTGCTTTCTGCCTAAAATTGGGACAGTAAATGAAGAACAACATTCAGAAAAACAGAGGGATTCTGGACAGGAAACAATCAGGGCCAGCTAACACCTCCCACCAAAGGATTCCCTTGGTCAGGAAGCGAACAGACCTTGAAGCTGAAAAGCTATTCAGTGCTAACCTTATCATTGAATGGCTTTGCAGTTTTAAAGCGGGCTGCTTCCTAGAACCATAGAGACCTTGTGGGCCATCCATTCCAACCCCTGCCAAGAAGCAGGAAAATCACATTCAAAGCACCAGTGAGAGATGGCCATCTAGCCTCCGTTCTTGTCTGGGGGAATCCTTTGTTGGGAGGTGTATGCCAGCCCTGATTATTTCCTGTCTGAAATTCCCCTGTTTTTTGAGTGTTGCTCTTGATTTACTGTCCTGATCAGGGCACATTAAATAAACAGGGGAATTCCAGACAGGAAATAATGAGGGCCAGCTAACACATCCCAACAAAGGTCTCCTCCCAGGCAGGAAGCAGCCAGGCTTTGAAGCTGCAAGGCTACTAAATGCTAATCAAGGTGGCCAATTGCAATGTTCACACTTGCTTCCAACAGACAAGAGTTCTTTGCTTTCACCCTGGACATTATTCCACAGATATATTACATTATTTTATGGTTCGTGCAATGAATACCTTCCTCATCCCAGATCTCCCTTCCCAATAATTTATATTGTCCAATCTCCCAGTGTTTTCTGGATGGCCCAGAAGGTCTCTAAGATTCTAAGAGGCAGCCAGACTTTGAAGCTGCAAGGCCATTCAATAATGTGGCCAATTGCAAGAGGCGGAGGATGCAGGCGAAACGTCAGGAGAGAATGCTAGATGGCCATCTCTCAGTGGTGCTTTGAATGTGATTTTCCTGCTTCTTGGCAGGGGTTGGATTGGATGGCCCAGAAGGTCTCTCTAAGAAGCACCCAGGCTTTGAAGCTGCAAGGCCATTCAATGATAAGGTGGCCAATTGCAAGAGGCGGAGGATGCAGGCGAAATGTCAGGAGAGAATGCTAGATGGCCCTCTCTCAGTGGTGCTTTGAATGTGGTTTTCCTGCTTCTTGGCAGGGGTTGGATTGGATGGCCCAGAAGGTCTCCAAGATTCTAATAAGCAGCCAGACCTTGAAGCTGCAAGACCATTCAATAATGTGGCCAATTGCAAGAGGCGAGAGGGCAAGATGTCAGGAGAGAATGCTACATGGCCATCTCTCAGTGGTGCTTTGAATGTGATGTTCCTGCTTCTTGGCAGGGGCTGGACTGGATGACCCAGAAGGTCTCCAAGATTCTAAGAAGCAGCCAGACTTTGAAGTTGCAAGGCCATTCAATGATAAGGTGGCCAATTGCAAGAGGTGGAGGATGTAGGTGAAACGTCAGGAAAGAATGCTAGATGGCCATCTCTCAGTGGTGCTTTGAATGTGATTTTCCTGCTTCTTGGCAGGGGTTGGATTGGATGGCCCAGAAGGTCTCTCTAAGAAGCACCCAGGCTTTGAAGCTGCAAGGCCATTCTATGATAAGGTGGCCAATTGCAAGAGGCGAAACGTCAGGAGGGAATGCTTCTGGAACATGGCTAGACAGTCCAGAAAACTCACAACAACATAGCGATTCCGGCCATGAAAGCCTTCGATAATACATTGAAGAAGGATTGTTTACATTTTGACCTGCTCTATTAGAATTAGCAAAAGAGAACAGGAAAAGTGTTAGGAAGATAGAAAAAAAAGAAGGGTTGGGATACAGATCGGGGTGTCGCTTGTGTTACTCCAAAGCTCCCCTATCTCCATCCTGCCCCCCCCCCCCCTTTATTTCTAGCTCAACTATCGTGCTGCCAAAGCGGACGGGGAATTAGAAGGAGGATTCTTCTAGCACAGAGGAAATTGCAACTGAATGAACACTAAAAAGGGGAGAATATTAGAAACACAATTCAATATAGAAGAACGACAAGGTAGAAATAGACAAGAATGACACGACAGGAAGCATTTTTTTTTTGACAAAGTATTGCTTTCAAACAGAACTGGGAAAAGGTTCTCCCTCCCAGTATCCCCTAGCCCAGTGTTTCTCAACCTGGGGGTCGGGACCCCTGGAGGGGTCGCGAGGGGGTATCAGAGGGGTCACCAAAGACCATCAGAAAACAGTATTTTCTGTTGGTCATGGGGGTCTGTGCAGGAAGTTTGGCCCAATTCAATCATTGGTAGGTTTCAGAATGCTCTTTGATGGTAGGTGAAATATAAATCCCAGCAACTACAACTCCCAAATGTCAAGGTCTATTTTCCCCAAACTCCACTAGGGTTTATGTTTGGGCATATTGACAATTCGTGCCAAATTTGGTCCAGATCCAACATTGTTTGAGTCCACAGTGCTCTCTGGATGTAGGTGAACTACAACTCCCAAACTCAAGGTCAATGCCCACCAAACCCTTTCAATATTTTCTGTTGGTCATGAGAGTTCCGTGTGCCGAGTTTGGTTCAATTCCATCATTGGTGGAGTTCAGAATGCTCTTTGATTGTAGGTGAATTATAAATCCCAGCAAATACAACTTCCAAATGTCAAGGTCTATTTTCCTCAAACCCCAACCAGGGTTCACATTTGGGCATATTGAGTATTCATGCCAAGTTTGGTCCAGATCCGTGTGGGAAATTTGGCCCAATTCTATCATTGGTGGAGTTTAGAATGCTCTTTGATTGTAGGTGAACTATAAATCCCAGCAACTACAACTCCCAAATGACAAAATCAATCCCCCCCAACTTCACAAGTATTCAAATTTGGACAATCTTGCATTTGTGCCAAATTTGGTCCAGCGAATAATAATAATACATCTTGCATATCGGATATTTACATTACGATTCGTAACAGTAGCAAAATTACGGTTATGAAATAGTAACAAAAATAATTTTATGTTTGGGGGGTCGCCACAACATGAGGAACAGTATTAAGGGGTCGCGGCATTAGGAAGGTTGAGAAACACTGCTCTAGATGTTCAAGACTGCAAACCCTGCCAGCTCAGGATGAAGAGGGTTTAGAGCTACGACCCAACAACATCTGGAGAATTGCACATTGCCTACACAACATTTGCCATTTCCAGGGAACATAGCAATTCAGAGATTGCCCTTTGTTATTGTCAGGTGTTAGTTCTTAAACAAGTAACCCACATCTAATTTTCAACTTGCAATCCAACCTGAGCATACCTGAGTACATCTACAATAGCATACCTGAGGAAAAGCTGATATATACCTTTAACTACTGTATATTCCGGCATATAAGACAACTAGGCATATAAGACAACCCCCAACTTTTCCAGTTAAAATATAGAGTTTGGGATATATTTGCCGTATATTTGCCGGCTAAGTAAATCCGCCAAGCATGGTCTGATTGATTGGTTTATGTTAATCATCAATATATCGTTGGAGCAAGGAATTTTTCCATCAGGCTTAAAACAGGCTGTGGTCAGACCACTCCTGAAAAAGACTTCCCTTGACTCCACGGTCTTGAATAACTATAGACCAATCTCAAACCTCCCTTTTCTGGGCAAGGTGTTGGAGCGGGTGGTCGCTGCTCAGCTCCAGGGCTTCCTGGATGACATCAACTATCTGGACCAGTCACAGTCTGGCTTCAGGCCTGGCCATGGCACCGAGACGGCTTTGGTCGCCTTGGTGGATGATCTCCGCAGGGAGCTGGACAGGGGGAGTGTGACCCTGTTGGTTCTCTTGGACATCTCAGTGGCTTTCGATACCATCGATCATGGTATCCTTCTGGGACAACTCTCTGGGATGAGCCTCGGGGGCACCGTCGTGGCTCCGGTCCTTCCTGGAGGGTCGATCCCAGATGGTGAAGCTGGGAGATGCCTGCTCGGACCCCTGGCCTTTGACCTGTGGGGTCCCGCAAGGCTCCATTCTGTCTCCCATGCTTTTTAACATCTACATGAAACCGCTGGGAGAGGTCATCCGGAGTTTTGGAGCTGGGTGCCACCTCTATGCAGATGACACACAACTCTACTACTCTTTTCCACCTAATTCCAAGGAAGCTCCTCGAGTGTTGGATGAGTGCCTGGCTGCTGTGACTGTCTGGATGAGGATGAACAAGCTGAGGATTAATCCCGACAAGACAGAGGTCCTCCTGGTCGATCGTAAACCGGATCGGGGTGTAGGGTGGCAACCTGTGTTGGACGGGGTTGAACTCCCCCTGAAGTCACAGGTACGCAGTTTGGGTGTCCTCCTGGACTCATCACTTACGCTTGAGGCTTAGGCGTTGGCAGCGGCCAGGAGGGCCTTTGCACAATTGAGACTTGTGCGCCAACTTCGGCCGTACCTCGTGAAGGCGGATCTGGCCAAGGTGGTCCATGCCTTAGTCACCTCTAGACTGGATTACTGCAATGCACTCTATGTGGGGCTGCCCTTGAAAACGGCTCGGAAATTCCAGATGGTCCAACGGGCGGCAGTCAGGTTGTTAACCAGGGAGCGGTCAGCCCTCCTGTTCAAGGAGCTCCACTGGTTGCCATTCATTTTCCAGACCCAGTTCAAGGTGCAGGTTCTCACCTACAAAGCCCTGAACGGTTTGAGACCTGCCTACCTACGTGACCGCATCTCTGTATACGAACACACACGATCTCTTTGATTGTCTGGAGAGGCCCTTCTCTCGATCCCACCTGCATCGCAGGCATGGTTGGTGGAGACGAGAGAGAGGGCCTTTTCAGTGGTGGCCCCTCGACTCTGGAACTCACTCCCTAAAGACATCAGGCAGGCCCCAACTCTGACAGTCTTTAGGAGGAGCTTGAAAACGTGGTTGTTCCAGTGTGCCTTCCCAGAATAATGATCAGAACAGACCCCTCGCTCTTAAGCTTCAGGAAGAATCTTAGGCAAGCCTTTGGGGATTAATATGACCCATAAGTATGACGGAAGAACGACAAAGCTATTGGTTCAATGTTTACAAAGCTCAGTTGGTGCTAGACTTTTGATATGTTTGATATATTCCTTTGAAAGACTATTTTAATCGATATGTATATGTTTTTTTACAGAGAGAGGACCAGTTAGAAACAGAGAAGGACTGATAATGGGATTTTGGGAGCTGCAAAAGCAGCACGAGTTTAGGAAGTTCATGTTTTAATTAATTGCTACTTCATAAACCTATTTTGTGCAGTGCGTTAAAGCGCTGAGCTGCTAAACTTGTCGACTGAAAGGTCGCAGGTTCAAATCCGGCGAGCGGGGGTGAGCTCCCACTGTTAGCCCCAGCTTCTGCCAATCTAGCAGTTCATAAACATGCAAATGTGAGTAGATCAATAGGTACCGCTCCGGTGGGAAGGTAACAGCGCTCCATGCAGTCATGCTGGCCACATGACGTTGGAGGTGTCTATGGACAACGCTGGCTCTCTGGCTTAGAAATGGAGATGAGCACCACCACCCAGAGTCGAATATGACTGGACTTAATGTCAGGGGAAAACCTTACCTTTACCTAAACCTATTTAATAAACCTTGTTTCCTTTTCTATGACTGTGAAAGAAAGGACTGTGCCACACTGGACCACTGATCAACACAGCTACTCATCGAGAACAGAATAGATCTGACTTGAGTCCCAGATCCAGGCAAGGCCCAAGGGTTCGAAATATAAGAGTCAGCCTGGATAGGGGCTCGGTCATGTTAGGACACAAAATTAATGTTTTAAGAACACGGGTAGAGCATGGCCTTTATCTGAGTATGGTGGGGCGATAACAAGACATCGCAAACTCACTTTAGGAATCAAAAAGGTGCAGGTAAACAAATGATGAAATTAATAGTTTCCTAGTGTTTATACCTGGTGTCACCCAGGTGTCGGAGGGGTTGCTGCCCTCCTGTTTTCACCCCTTCTTTCTCTTTCCTTTCCTCCTTCCTTTTTTCTTACTTTCTCTTCCTTCCTTTTTCTATCTCCCTCCCTCCTTTCTCCTTCTCCACTCTGAGGGTCTCCGTGGCTACCTTTTCTTTTCTCTTTCTTCCTTTCTCTTCCTTTCCTTTCCTTTTCCTTTTTTTCCTTTCCTTTCTTTCCCTTCCTTTCCCTTCCTTCCTTTTCCCTTTCCTTCCTTTTCTTTCCCTTTCTCCTTTCCTTTCTTTTCCTTTCTTTTCCTTCTTTCCTTCCTCTTCCTCCCTTTTTCCTTTCCTTTTTCCTTTCCTTTCCTTCCTTTCCCTCCTTTCCTTTCCCTCTTTCCTTCCTTTTCTTTCCTTTTCCTTTCCTTCCTTTCTCTTTCCCTTTCTTTCCTTTCCCTTTCCTTCCTTTCCTTTTCTTTCCCTTCTTTCCCTTTTTTCTTTCCCTTTCCTTCCTTTCCCTTTCCCTTTCTTTCCTTTCCCTTTCCTTCCTTTCCCTTCTTTTCCTTTCCCTTCTTCCTTTCCCTTCCTTTCCTTTCCTTTCTCCTTTCTTTTTTCCCCTTCCTTCCTTTCCCTTCCTTTCCCTTTCCTTTCTTTCCCTTTCCTTTCTTTCCTTTTTGTTTCCCTTTCCTTCCTTTCCTTTTCCTTTCCCTTTCTTTCCCTTTTCCCCCTTTTTTCCTTTCACTTTCCTTCCTTTTCCTTTCCTTTTCCTTCCTTTCCCTTTTCTCCCCCCCTTTCTTTTCTTTTCTTTTCCTTTCCTTTCCTCCCTCCCTCCGTCCCTCCCTCCCCTTTCTTTCCCAGTGATATCAAAGAGGGCCACTTCACCTAGCAAGAGCCAATCCGTCAGCTAGCAATAGTCAATCCAATGGCATGAATCATACAATCATAGAATTGGAAGAGACCTCATGGGTCATCCAGTCCAACCCCATTCTGCCAAAAAGCAGGAAAATTGCTTTCAAAGCACTCCTGACAGATGGCCATCCAGCCTCTGTTTAAAAGCTTCCAAAGAAGGAGCCTCCACCACAGCCCGGGGTAGAGAGTTCCACTGCTGAACAGCTCTCACAGTCAGGAAGTTCTTCCTCATGTTCAGATGAGAACTTTTGTGGTTCAGACAAACACATAATTTTATATACATAGACAGAAGATTGGTGAAATTCTGAGGTTAAGACTGAATTCCTACTGATACAGATTGGCCAAGAGCTATCTATCCAGGACTGTGGCGCAGCTGGCTGGGAGTCAGCTGCATTAAGATCACTACTAACCAGAAGGTCATGTTGGGTTGGAGTGAGCTTCCGACCAATTTGTGTAGTTTGCTGTCGACCTATGCAGCCCGAAAAACATTTGCATCTGTCAAGTAGGAAATTTAGGTACCGCTTATGAGGGGAGGCAAATGTAACTAATTTACGAGACCATAAACATCTCCAGCAAGCATGCAAAGAATGAGGAAGTACTGCATCAGTGTCACAAATGGTCGGTGAAGGGACAGCTCCCCTGGTGACCACAATACCCTCAAGAAGAAAGCTGGGATGTTAAATGGCCTCTGTGTCTGTCTATATATGTTGTGTATCTATGGCAGTGGTTCTCAACCTAGGGTCCCCAGATGTTTTTGGCCTACAACTCCCAGAAATCCCAGCCAGTTTACCAGCTGTTAGGATTTCTGGGAGTTGAAGGCCAAAAACATCTGGGGACCCCAGGTTGAGAACCACTGACCTATAGCATTGAATGTTTGCCATGTATATGTACACTGTAATCCTCCCTGAGTGTCCTGCGGGGTGAGACGGGTGGAATATAAATACTGTAAATAAAAATAATAATAAGTATTTACTTTTCTCCACAATAGCTATAACCTGGTTTTTGGCCTTTCCACTTTGCATGCCTATCATCATAGGCATGTTAAGAGTCTGGCCCCTACTGAGGTCACGTAATTGTTGACACACTAGGAAGACATTCCACATGTACACAACCCAGGCGGCACTGTTGACATTGCCAGGCACGCTTGTTTCAGTTCTGTCTTGCTGAATCTTTTTTGAGAGCCAGCACTGTGGTGTTTTCGTGAGACAACAATAAACCAAGATGGACAATAATTGATTTTTTTTTTTATCAACGAAGGAAGACACACAATGCAGACAAACAAAATAAAAACGACAGTGAAGGAATTCAATTTGTTCCTGTACTAACCTTGCACATCTTCTCTTTCCGGTCCTGTTTTGTCCACTATGGCTGTACTTTCCACTTCACACGTTGCTACAGATTCTGCTAAGAGCGTTGATGGGACTGACACAGGGCTGGAAGGAGGAAAACATTCCATCAAAATGCAATCCAGCCTTTGAAGTAAACAGCTACTTATTAGAGTTTGGAAAACATTTGTTATCAAAATAACTAGTAGAGTTAAGTTGTGGCTACCTGTTGGTAAGACGTTAACTCTGTTTGCTATCAGACCTTCAACTCCCCGCCCCAGGCAGACCCCTAACCTGTACCTTGGTTGCATAGGTGGTACAGGTGTAGACTCTAGTGTTGGCGGAGCGTCCTGGAGAGTGCTTTCAGTGCATTGAACCGGTAAAGATTCAGCTAGACTATTAACAGATGTTGCTGAAAGAAGAAGACACAACGTTAAAGGCCAGAATTTGGAAGTCGCATTTCCCT